ATTTTCTCTGACAGGCAGCAAATAATTATATGCAGAGCACATTAATTTATTGGCACGTTTATCTATTGCAGCTGCTGCCACTATTTGCAGCTAGCTGCTTCATTATGAAAGCACAAATCTGTATAAATAGTTGCAAAGCACATATGTGTGTATATCTGTGCGTGTGAAAATTGCGGAGTTCAAGTAAAAACTATTGCAAATTCGCGATAAGCCATTCTTGTTTTGATGGCTGCGCTCAAAACTCATTTCCCATTTATGCTTAATTGTCCAGCGCATATCAATTATGGTCGGGCAAATGCAAACCTAAAAATGCACGATGGCATTAGTTAAATCTAATAATGAATTCTGTTATACAATTATCTACCGCTCGTATTTGCCTAATGGCTAGTAAATGTTGAACAACGTGCGAATGTGTTAGGCTGTATACAAAATGAATTCTTCTCTAACTCAGTTACCACTTATCTCACGTGACTCTGTTCTCCTGGCAAAAATAGCTACATTAAAATTAATGCGTCGAAAAGTAGACTATTAAAAATGCAAAGCCAACTCTATTAATGCACACAGGCACATAGCTCTACCGTTATCGCTTATGTGAGTTGTTTCTTTAAACAGCAAAAGCTCAAAATGAACAGAGACGTGGATAAAATCGGATTATTTGTTGCTTGATTCTTGTTATATGAAGTCAAGCTAGATATAAATATATATATATTTAACAATATTAACAGCATGTGTCAGACATATTTATGCTCTCTTTTTGGGTTAGTCAAACTTTTGTTTAGTCCAATTTTATTTTGATGTATCGTCAACTATCTTTCGTTAAAATGCATTTAGCTAACTTTTTGGGAAAGTCAACTTTAAAGTCACGGGCAATTCTGATTCTATCAGAACCCTCCTGCTGTGTTCAACGTTGACGACGCCAATGGCAATGGTAATTACAAATACACAGACAAAAACACACATACACACACACACACACAGTCAAACGGATGCACAAACTAACACATTAGACGTCGTTTCCTTTGCCAAAGGAGCGGCATAAAAGTTGCTTGACTTCATTTTGGGTCGTCGACGTTGCCGACGACAACATCAACAACAAACGAGCCAAAAGAAACACACAGACAAGCAAACAAATAAACTGACAGACACTCGTTTCCGTTTTCAAACAAAACAGACGCCATATTTAAAATTCCAAACGGCGCACACCAGCAACAACAACAACTACAAAATCAGTAAGCAAATGAAATAACATAGAATTGCCGTTTACAAAAAAAGAAAGAAAAAAAAACTTTTCACGCTACCACGAGTTTGTTTTTCTCTTGCTGCGAACAATATTCAATTTGTGGGTCGAGCTTTGATTTTTGAAACTGGGCGACAGGTTCATTGAACGGCTGCAGCATTTGGCTAATATGCGCGTCAAAGTTGCGCCTCGCATGCCAGCTAATTGCTGAATTATGCCCAAGCGGAACAACAACAGCAACAACAACAACAAAACAAGAAAAAACAAAAACAGAAAAGAAAATAAGCAAAGCATGCTTCGCGGTGCACAACAATGAAAACACAAAAGTTTTGAACAGCACACAAATCCGCCCGTAGCGATTGTTGTTGATGGAGGCATTCAAATGCTGCCGCCCACACAGATCTGAATCAACATTCGGCATGAGCAGTTGGCATTTTAACATTCGCCATTCGCCATTCGCCATTCGCCATTCACCATTCACCATTTGCCATTTTCAGTTAATTTATAACGAGTACTAGTGAAAACTGCTGACTGGCTGCCCGTGATTTCCGTGATTCAGAAATTAAAGATTTATTTGAGATTTTCATGATGAGATATGTATGTATGTTTGTATTTAGGAGTAGTGGGCAGTTTGGTAGTGTAGTCTGTGAAATGGGCGTGCTCACAATCTACACAATGGACACGTAGTCAAATAAAAATGCCTCCGGTGTTTGTTTAGCATCACCGTTTAAGTTGTATATTAAAATGATTTATATGCACAAAATTGCGGCACAGGCGAGAACGTACAAGTTCTGCACTCATTTCATAAAATATGCATTTGGTCTGACGCCATTTTTCCATCGATAATACAAAAAGTTTGTTCAACTGCAGACTATGAACACCCTGTCTCAAATTCTGTAATCAATTCTGAATACAAATAATAATATGGTTAGGCATCATTAAAATAGTATGCACATTGCATGATTTAGATATCTATTTTATAAATTTAATATCTGAATTCTATTAACATTGCCTGAACCGAAAGAGAACTTGAGTATCATACAAACTGGTTAAAAAAAAACGAATCAGAATTTTAGAAAAAAGAAAAAACAATAGTATAATTTTTAACATATTTTAAGTTCAATTAAAGTGATTGTGTGTTTACATGTTCCAATTGCCTAAGTACAGTGAATATGGCGTGGAAGTTATGATATAGCAGTGTGAGGGCATTTAAAAAATCTATAAAATAAATTGACCGACAGGACGAGAGCCACATATGCCAATAAAATATTTTATCAGACGTACGTGTTGCTATTAGACGTTAAAGCATCGACACCATGTCCGACTCACCTCCCCACTAACCAGTGCGTCACGCACGCATATCAAATGACGCCGTTGGAGTGTTGAAAGCTGTGACGAGACGAAAGTCAAGGGAGTTTAGGAGATGGGGGCATGGGGCGAGGGACGGGGCCTGAGGTAGCTAACCCTTTTTTATGGCTGGTCAGTGGAGGATCTGGTCTCTGATTATGCGTCGTGTGGCCATAAATTTATATTGAAAGACGTGCGCTGTTAATCAAATTGAAGTGTTTGATTAAATTTAAAAAAAAAATTGATGGCAACGACTTCTGCGAAAAAAAGGAAGCTAAGAAAAGGAAATTAATTTGTGAGCTGTGTTGTATGCACAATATTCAATTAACTTATGCGTGCGGATATTTAGCTAGTATACTTATACGTTTATCGTAAAAGATATGCCCAACCCTACAAAACTTCAGAAACGTGTCGCAAACTGCGTGGTTATTTAAAAACACGGCTTGCTCAAGTGTTGCACACTTTAAAGCGCCAAAAACGGCCAACTGAAGTTAAATAACAATTTCACTGCTCATTAACCCTAATTTGTATGTAAATTTTAGGGAGCCTTCTAGCTGGCGCCCCTTTTCTCTGGGGGTAAAGCCGTCTTGCGTCCCTCAAAATTTTAAAGGATTTCAGCGACCGTTTTGTTTTAGTATGTTTAACTAATGCAAACGGCAGCCAACGGTCGTGTGCCAAGAGGTCTGCGTCTTGTCTTGAAGCGAAACAAGTCAAGAATGCCCAATAGCATCGTACATCGTACATTGTGCTAACCTAGCTTAGAATTAATTCCCCAGATTATAGGGATACCATAGTTTAAATTTAACTTTTCCCACATGCTACTAACTTTTGATTACAGGATGCCATTCATTTCATAACTAGTCTTACGTAAACAGAAGTCGCATATTTTGTCTATTTCAGAGTAGACAAGGAAGAAGGAAGCAGGAAGGAAGGAAACAGGTGGATGGAGATATATACCTCAGGCCTAGTAAAATATGCTTGCATATGTGATTTATTCATTCCATTCGTTATTTTATAAAAGAAGTTTGAATTTGACCATCCATCGATTAGCTTATTACATTTTGCCGCAAATTGTGGTTTTTATGCACGTTATTTATTTTATTGCATCGTGTTGCATTCTTTTCGCACCATCTCTCCATTAATTCATCAGCCGGAAAATAAACAAATGGCTTCACAACAAAATGAACTTTCAGCAGTCATTATTGGGCGGTTATTGCTGTTGAGAGTGCCAGAGTATAAAACAAAAATGAGTATTAAGTTGAACAATGGCAACCAACAGGCAACAGACACAGAGAGAGAGCGAGAGATGGCGAAGGATGAGATACAAACAAGAAATGGCAACGCTTTCAGGCGCCCATGCAAATTCAATAAATTAAGGCAACGACCATTAATTATATTTTAAATTACAATACACACACACACAGATACACACATGGGCAACTAGTGCTTTTACTCAGGCTTGGCCAGAGAGAATGTTGTACCCATTCAGTAGGCAAATTGTCGCTGTTTATCGCCATGCACCAACAGCGCGACAACAACGCATACAATAACAACAACATTAACAACAACCAACTGATTGTCCAAGTTACCATCCGAATGACTGCCAACAAGGCCATTGTTGCCAGTGGAAACCGCTTGGATGACGCCACGCAACCAAACAATATGAACAAAACAAATAAGAATGCCCTGGTCGAGTGATCTCCTCTCAGAGATACCCTGTAGCCAGCAGTGTATGTGGTATGTTTCAAGAACATATTAAGTCGATGTATGGAAAAGTTGGGGACGCTTCAAACTAAGATCGATTCAAGCTAACTGACTCTATACACAATTCATTAATCCTTACAATTGCAATAAAAATTTATACACTTAAGCAGAGCAGAGATTTCTTTCACCGCCTATTTCGAAAATAAAGCAAAATGATTATACCCTTTTGTTCAATATTTTTTTGATGAGTACAGAGTAAAAAATAATAAAACATAATTAAGAAAAATCTGTAAAAAACTTAAAAAAGTTACTTCGACTTCAGTTGGACCATGGGCTGATGCTGCTCTTACTTCTGCTTCAGCTGCTGCTGCTGTAACTGGCAGATGCAGTCTGACTGTTGGTAGCCCATTAGCTGCACGTAAACAATGGCCAAGGCTGTTGACAATGGCGGCATGTCATTAAGGCTGACATAAGCTGCCGACTGCTGACGTGTTAACTGCCAGCGAGCCAACTTTTTAATTGGTTTAAATTCACAAGTTGATTTCCATTCCATAAGCCATAAGGAGGCTGAAACGCTGTCTTCGCATTGAATTTGACCCACGTCTATCGAATTTTCGGACTTGGTCCATAGCTATAAGCTCGTTGGCAAGTTTCAAGCATAATTTTCCTCTAGATTCTTCGATTTATTCGATACAATGCAATCACTCTCACAACTAATCTCAAAATTATCGTTTCATTATTTTTGCCGTAAAGATTTATTTTCACTACTTTTTGGCTTTCTGCCGTTTGCCGCGCTTCGGTTTTTTCTTGAAGGGTCCCAGACCACGTCGCACCATTGTGCCACGCCACCAGGCCTGCAATTTGATAGCACACTCCATGCGATGCACCTCGAGATCTTGGAGTCGTTGCTCCTCCTCCTTCTTGGCGCGATACTCCCGCACGAATTCCACATGCTGGGCATTCACCACGCGATGATGCGCCAGTGATTTCGTCTGCTCTAGAATGCGCAGTTCCCAAGCCTCAGTTTCACGATCGACGCGACGCAGCTCGTTGGCATAACGCTTCTGCCAGTCGGCGATGCGCTCCTGCAGATCGGTCAGTTCGCGATGGCGAAAGGCAGCCAGCTCCTGGCTGACACGCTCCTCTCGCGCCAGCCGCTGTTTGTAGTCGAGGATGTCTCGTAAGTAGGCCCGCTCTGCATTCTCGCCCCAGATCTGTGCCTGCGAGATGCGTGATGCCTCCCAACGCTCCACCAAACTATACTCCAGATCGTTGACGCGCGAGACACACTTCAAGTTGTATTTAGCATCTGCTATGCGCTCCTCCGTCTCATGCAGCTTGGCTGCACCGTCGATTTTCAGCTGCTCCAGCTGCGCTTCCAGTTGTTGTAACTCATCCTTGGACTGCTGAAGCTGCTGAACAGCGACTGACTCCTCGCTGTTATTGCCACTCAGCGCGGATATAGCCAGATCCAGGCGACTTGGTATTTCTCTTTCCAGCTCCACGCTACTCATGAATAGCTGCTCGTTGGCTGCATGAAAGAACCCGCGCAGGGCATCTAAGTCCCTTTCGTATTTCAGCGCATTTAGAACACATTCATCCAGCTTGTCCGTATCCTGATCTGTGTCGCCGAGCAACGACTGTAGTCGTGGCAGCCTTTTACCCGTTAGCAGCACTCGCTGAGGCATCGCCTGCTGCCCAATCGAGGAGCTGCGAAGCCGACGCAGCGAGGCTGGTAAACGTGGCGGCGGCTTTTGCATGCTTAGGCGCTGAGAGCGCTGCTGCAGAACGAGCCTATCGATTGTTGTCTTGTAGGTGACAGCCAGCATTAAGCGCTGCCATTCCGCCTGCTCTTCCGCATTTAATCCTGCATCGGGGGACACTTCCATTGCAACTGGCTGTGGCAAGGCAAATATAGTCACAATCTCCACTAGACTACGCCATCGATATGAAATGTTTGACGTTGGCAAGGCAACTGTGCGCCTTCTTCCACACTTTGTGTCTCTTTGGCTGTTTGGCCTAGCGCCAGTAAGTATGCCACGCATTAGTTGTCCGGGACATCCTTCCCTTGCGCTTACGTGCGAGAATGCCGTATTCGGAGAGTACGATAGCAGGAGCAGTCACTGAATTTATTTGCCAGCATTTACTCCCTATCCTCTTACGGCTTCTCCTTTTGGGTTCATTCACTTCTTGGGACTAGCCATGTAAGCCTGTGTTTGTACAGTCTCTCACTGTGTCCCTCGTATTCTTCTTATCCATTTCGCACTCTGGCTGCTTGCCTGTATATAAATATATATATATATATATATGTGTGTGTATGCTTAACCCAATAAATGCTGCGCTGATTGCAAGTTAAATTATTGGCACCCAAGACGCCAGACCAGCATTACAATTAAATTATCGCATTAACCACAAAAACCAACGCATCGCTGCGCGACGTTGGGCGGCAATTTTTAACAGCATTCTCACAGCGAGAATGGAAAAAAGATATGAAAAAAGAAAGAAAAGTATTCTTGCAAGTGCATGCAACTATCGACTGCTCTACAAAAAATACTCCGAATTTTTAAAGAGTCTTCGCTCTTAGTGAAATGGATAGTTTTGTGTCAGTTGATATTAGTACTTTATGTACGTGCAGTACATACTGTAAATGTTTGAAAACCTAGAATACAGTATAATAGATTAAATAAAGTTAAGCCGTGTTCGCCAGAAACTATAGTTAGATGATAGTAAGACTTTAAAGTATAGCACATGCTTTAAATGCTTACTAATCCAGTATACAAAATATGGTGCACTTTTCTCCGGAATATATTGAATAAAATGTTCATTTGGAAGGAAACTCAATTCCAATAAACTTTTAATTGAATATATTAAATAACTTACATTTCTCCATTATTATATTGTAAATGACAACAGTTAATTGATAATGTCATTAACAAAAATGGACTTTCCTGGAAATGAATAAAATTACAAAAGCTTATATTTAAATCATAAATTGAAATATATGTGAAATGTAAAATTTGTATATTACCTTATTAGCAAAATTAAATTATATATAAAGAACCAATTCACAACAAACTGTTTCATAAAAACTATTTTTTGGACTGATCAACAAAAGATAATCATAGAAATTATGGCAAAGTTAAAGATTTCAATTGCAAGCTAAAGCTACAATTTCTAGATGAGCAACAAGTGTAAGATTATTAACAATTTTAACGGCATATTCGCAGAAGGCAATGATTTAAATTTCAATTTGGTCGGAATTATTTGTGCGACTAAATCACGTAATGTCGAAAATTCAAATGAATTTTTAATGGTTTGCCCCAATGTGCCACAATTGCTATATATGGTTCAGACAGTTCAGTGGCATTATAAAAGCACCCGCAAATGGTCAGTGCAATGGCTGAGGCTATGAATGGAGCGCTATGAGAAATTGCTCAACGTACGTTCTCATATATATTAATTTAATGTCCGCCACTGTCTCGCGCACACACACACACACACACAGTCAGACACACAACCATATACTTGAGGGACTGCATGTGGCGTCTTTCGCACTTGGCGAGTGGCTTCGCTGTCAGCGGCCATTATTTTTAATAGACTGCAAAGAAAAAGTTTTCAGTTTTCTACTTCATTGACTGCAAATCGGCAAAAGGCACAGAGAAGTCGCCGCTTCTTCTGAAATTAAATGCGCCAAAATGTATGCTGTGCAGCGACTGATAAGCAGCATACACACACACACACACACACACACACATATATATATATATACACTTACATAGTCCCACAAATTCTGGCATTTGCCGCAAGAAACCATACACATAAATTCATTTTGGCCAAATTTTCCATTTTTCCTTTGAAATCCCACACAACTTTCCATGCAAATTTTCAACGAGCAGCAGCAGCAATTCCTGACATATCCAAGCGAAAACTCGAAACGCATTGAATCCAGTTGGCGTTGACGCCATGATTATTATTATTCAGTGAGATTTTACAAAACCACTGGCGGCAACTGCTGCTGGTCAAATAATATAAATAAATATTGTGTGATATGAAATATTTGATTTCTATTATTATAACCGACCGAAATAACCGCCAAAAATCAATCTGCCATCCACACTCGTCACTCTATATTGTCTATATATATATCAGTTTATGTCGATTGCATGTCAGCTGCATTTTTTGCGTCATCAGATATGTAGTTTAGGTGTGGCAACGGTGTTGGTTGAATGATGTGTGTAAAAGTGCCGCCTCAGTTACTTCTGTTGCTTGGCAACAGCTTGATTCGAGGGGGTCAATTAATCAATAATAGTTTAAGGATTGCTTTGGTACATCATAACCAAAAAATAACCTGTACAAGGGTATAAAAGAGTTTGCCTCTTCACGCTGTATATGAACACAACTTAATCGTAATTTAATGGGTATACCTTTTGACATCAACATCTATTATCATTATTTATAGCTAATAGTTTACATCTTACATGGACTTTACATCTTTGCCAGTGTAATCAGCTTAAAACATCTTTAAAGTAGGATTAAAAAGATGTGTTTTCGAAGAGTTATTACTATAATTATTATTATAATTATTATTATTATGATTATCATTTTTGCAGTAGAGATAGTATACTACGACCTCCTTGATCAGGCTGAATTTTGTGCAGAAGGGCACTTTCTTAATGCGATTAGTTAAATCCTTGTTATTCCTAAGTAAATATATAATATATAAATTAAAGTCTATTGGGTAAATATTCTATTTTTTGTCTTTACAAAAGAATAATATATACAAAATGGTCGAAATTAAATAAGTAAAACGTTAAATTGGCAACGATTTTATAATAAATCATATTAAATCTCTTGTTTATAGATAAGTACTATCCCTAAGAGCCATTATCTGCAAATTACGCTGCCAGAGACACACATGCAGACACAGACAAAAACACTCACTCACACACGCCACTCTGCATATTTGTACATAACCAGCTGCACTTATGTATGTAGCCTGCCTTAGTTTGGCCAGTGTAAATAACCAAAAATGTTATATCGCGAACCGCAACCACGACACCGTGACGACAACGGCATATGCCAAGCGAGAAACCCAGGCCAAGCCACGCTGCAGACGGGGTAGGTGCTGCCTGAGCATTGGGGTAGGCAGAGCAGTGTCCGGGTTCTGTGTCCGCCGGCTGACGTTATCGGGCTGGCTCTGGCTGCGGCTCTGGCATGGCACTGGCCGTGATGGTGATGGTGACTGTGTGAATATGTCAGTGCGTTGTTGTCTGCGGCCGGCGAGTGATAGACGCTACCATTAATTCACATTCAGGTGCTACACGCTTGGCTGCGCAACTCTCTGGTCCCTCGTATAAAAAGTAGATGTGTGAGAACAACATGTGTTTTCATCCACCTCAAATTTGTGAGTGTGGCACACGAAGTGGGGGGCAGAGAAGCTGCGGTCACTGGTGCAGGCAAAACTCGTGAAATGCATGACAAATGCTTTGAGTAGCGCCAAAACGATTCGCAGTTCGTTTTTGCTAAAATATAAAAAAACAATTCTGACCTACTTGCTGGCTGTGTGTAATTACTAAGTGCCTGGACATAAGTGGCAGGCATGGCTAAAATCGAAAGTTGGCCTGCACCTCTCTCAACGCTTTCCACTATTTAAAATCCAAAAAGGGCCAAAGTAAAATCAATAAGGGCAGGTCCACAGTCCTGTGCCACAGGCCAATGCCAAGCAACCACCACCAAAAAACAAAAGAAAAACACACATTCACCCAAACACACAGCTAAGAATTGAGGTAGTCATGACAACGCGACTCAATAAACAAATACCAAGTATACTTTATGCGGCTATTGAAATAAGGTTGCTTTAAAAATAACTCTCAATGGCGCATTTATTGTATTTGGTGCTCCGCTCGTCGCGTTGCCACACAAACTGTGTCATCAACAGTCGATTGCAGTTCACCAGTGGCAGCTGAACAACCAGACAGAGAACTTGCAGAGCGACTGTCAAAGGACTTGAGTCTGCATTCCTTCGAGATGTTTCCACAGGCTGAGCTCGAGAACTACAAGTTGCAGGTGGAGTTGCTTCAGGAGAAACTGCGACGCAGGTCTGTGGCACACCTTTATAAATAGCTTCAAATTAATATTTAAGAAACTATGTACAGTGGTCGAATAAGAAAATCCTAATACAAAATATCACTGACTGATCATAGTTCAAGTTGTTAAGTTTGATAAATATATCAGTAAAACAAACACAACCATTTCACAATTACTCATTATGTAACAAATTTTGAAAAAAAAACCTTCTTTATAACGACTTTAATTCAAGCTCTCACGACTCTTTCAAGACTGAATCACCTGAATTAATAAATAATGGAATTAGTTTTTTTGTCTTAATTCAGTGTACAAAAGTTTATAGGGTGTTCAAGGGTATAGCTCCTTCCTGTGGAAAGGTCTAGAGTAGACAAGAGTCTTCGAGTCAAATCTAGCAATTATTTTCAACAGAAATTATTTAAAGTTATTATCAAGAGTGACTGAATGTATGTTTTCTTGAAGAAAGGAAATAATTTGCATTGTGAAAGTTTCATTTCATTTCATTACTTTCGCCTTAATTGCCATTAAAAATCTACAGCGAGGACAATCGCCATCAACTGGAGCACAAGTTGGACAAAGTATTACAAAAGCGCAGCGAGCTGTAAGTAAATATTATATGTATATATATAAATACTGTAGGAAATATGGTCCATTATAACTCCCGCTGTGCGTTTACTTTAGCGAGAAGTCCGTGCGGCATAAAACGCGTCAGGCATACCACGATTTTTTGGAGGAGCAGGCACAGCGCAATGAGCGAAACAAAAGGCTCGTCCATATGCTGGAGCGTATTGATGAGCAGACGGCAGCCATGTCACAGCGGAGTGAGCGACTCAAGATGATGAAGGTAATGTTAGATATTTATATACCTATACAGGAATATCTTGATTAGGGTTCCCCCTATCAAAGACACTTCAGCAATACATTTATATATGATTGTATACTATTTGTATTTATTTATCAAACAATAAATTTGAATTGAGGTATTCCTGTACATAGAATTAAGCATCAAATCAACCAGTTCCTCTCGATGGTATTACATGTTCCTTTCCATATGTAGCTGCAATATCAAATGTACTTTGCAAAATTGGTTCAAAATCAAACACTGCGCTGCATACATCAGACAACAAATGCTGGAGGCACGCAAACAACGCTACCATATCAAGTGTTATTACAGCCACAAGCAACGTTGCTATCAAATCCGACAAATACCGCAGGATCAGCAGCTCCGGCAGCAAATCAACCTCTAAATTTAAATCCAAATCAAAATCAGCCTTTGCTGTATCCCATGCCAGCGACTGCAACTCCACAGCAATGGGCATTTGCCACTCCCACGCCAGCTGGTATGCTGTTAGCTTCACAGGTAACACCACAGCAAGTCTATATGCCCTACCCGGATCTATATGGAGGAGCTGGACAGTCGATTGGCAACTCCAATCTGTTCGATCTGCGTGCAACATTGCGCGCCCTGGACAATGAAAATGCTGATTTGCCAGAACGCATGTCTCGCTTTGATAAAGCTGCCTTGCCAGCAGGTGATACCGAGAAAGTCAATTCTGACAGGACAATAGCAACACCAACCACATCAACGACAACAACACCAGCAACAATGACCACAACGGGAATTCCTTGCTCAACGCAAGACAGAAATGCAAGGGAGCTGAGCAGCACTTCCCCAACAACGCTGGTAACGTCTTCATCGTTGACATTTGATAAATTGCCAAATACGGCAACGATGACTGAGCTGCCGACTGCAGCTGTCGCTGTGGCTGGCTCTCTTCCTGCCGGTGGCAACGAGTTGCGTAGGGGAAGTCAGCAGGCAGCAGGCGTGGAGCTGGATGACTGGATGCCAAATTTACGCGTGACTAAAAACGAGCATGAAAAATCGCCAAGTGTTGCTGGCCATAATGAGCCCGGACGGCAGCCACAGCAGCAACAACAACAAAGGCAACCCAATATCGAAGCATACTTTGGCGAGCTAAAAATCGATGAGCCCTGGCAGAGAGTAGCAACATCAACAACCATAAAGCAACGACCTGGCGACCAGTTTGAGGACAGAATGGAGGTAAACGTGCGTGCGGGCGAAATGAAAAGTGTTGGAGGAGGCAACATCCTCGTTGGTGGCATCAGCAACAGCGATTTGCTCGACGAAGTCAAAGCCAGCCGTGCTGCTCTACAGAAGGCAGCGGCTGCTGTTGATGAGCAGTTAGCTAGAGGTAATCAATTGTCGCCACCGGCAACCATCAATGAGCCATACTCTAAGCCCAGAGTGTCGATTGAGAATATTGAAAATGCCATTTACGGCGAACGTTTGACGGTAGCACCAACAACGGCAATCTCAGCTAGAACAGCAGCAACAGCAGCAGTAACAGAGGTGGCAGCAACAACATCAACGCAAGGATTATTCGAAAATGTGGCGAACAACGCAATGCACCCGCAGCAGCAGCATCAAAGTGAGCAGCAGCAAAATGAGTTGGAGCCCTTGCAGTTACAACAGTTGCCGGAAGAGCAACAGCAACTTACTACACATGATGCATCCCAGATCGATTATGGGCCATATGATGCCAACAGTAGTTATGTGGACCACAACGATCCCAGCTATGCCAGCATTGAGTCCAGGCAGCAACAGCAGCAACAGTTGCCGCAACAGACAAGCGTTGCTGGCGAGCCGCTTTACACTGAAATCGGAAATCCCCAAGACGATTATCAACAATATGCAACGGATGCAAATGTAGCAGCTGCACCAGTAGTTGAAACCAATGTTGATGCAGAGGCAGCAGTCCAACAGCAGCAGGAGTACTCCAATATGGATTACAGCAACTATGATGCGGCACAATATGCAGCTGCCGGTGGCTATGATCCCAATGCCTATCCGGGCTACATATACGATGAGACCACTGGCCAGTATATTGCCGATCCCAATGCAGCACAGTATGCGCCGGATGGCAGCTACGCGGGTCAGGAGTATGATGCTGGTGTAACGAATTATGACTACTATGGCGAACAGCAGGAGCAGCCGCAACAGCAGGCGGAACAGGAGCAACAGCAGCAACAACAGGAACAGCAGGAAGCGGCTGCCTATTCAATGGCTGACAACAACAGCAGCGGCCTAGCAACTGAGCAGCCACAGGAAGTGGAGCAGGGCACGCCTCCAGCCGATGTCATTCCCCCACCGGTTCCGGCAGCCAAAGCAGCTCCTGTCAAACCCACATCGATACTAGCGTCGACAGACAAACAAGCGACGCCTAATGATGCGCATCAGCAGCAGCAGCAGCAAAAGAAGAAGAAGCGCGTTAATTTCGTTGACAGCAGCGAAACGGATGATAGCTCAAGCGCGAAACCAGCCCAAGAGCCATCCTCAGCACCACCCACTGCTGTGCCTCCCACGGGAGCCGCGATAGCCGCTTCTGGCGCCGGCGCCGGCAGCGAGAGCGATTTCGATTTTTCAACGGGCAGCGAGGCGAAGAATTAGAACAAGAGCAAAACACTTCAGCTCTAATCTGCTGCCATTTGGGTAAACCAATGAGCGACCAGCGACGAATGGATACAGCGACCATTCAATGTGACCGCATTCAATTTATAGCCATTGCCATTGCATTTTGCCATTTTTTCTTGCCTGTGCGCCACTTCTCCATCTATGTATACAACAAAAACAAAAAAATAATAAAAAGATATTGAGAAATCCATATCAATTGCGGTACATAACAAATGCAAAAATTTGACAAATTCTTCTCCAAATTGGAAGTGCAAATGGTTTGTGTGCTTGAAAAAGAAAATTATGAACTTTAACATAACATTTTACGTAAAGTGTGTTATTGCAGTTTACTCATGCTTAAAAAAATATAAAATCATCACTCCATTAAATTTTCCAAATAACATTACTTCACTTAAGGGTTTGGTGGGTTGAAAATTTGTCCCGATTATTTGATTTGAGTAAGTTGCTAATTGTGTTTGGCGTGGTGGTTGTGGCTTAATGATATTTGACAAATATTTAGAATACGTTTTTTTTATTGAATTTATAGGTTAAGCCGTTTTGCGTTTAACCAAATTGTGCTTTGGATATTGATTTAATTTGATTTGCTGCAGAAACCATTAACAGCCGGTTTAATTAAGTCATGTCCGTTGTCTGATCTCAAAGACAATAAGAAGTAGAGACTTAAAATGTGGAATAAAAGTTGTCGTATATCAAACGAAGATTACGTTTATTTAGTTTTATCGATAACTGTCCACATTTCCCAAATATCAATATAAAAATCAATTAATGGAGCCATTGTGAAGATAAATAAAAGTAACAAAAACAATAATGTTGGCCAGTGCTTCTCTCAAGTAGGAACATTTTTGGGCTTGTAAATCAGTGTTTAGAAGAACTAATACATTAAACAGCTGATATAGCGAATCTCTCGATCTTTCTTGACTAGAGAATTGATACTTTTTATTTTAATATTAAAGTGCATTTTAATATGATTTTGTTAGAAATATTAAAACAAAAAATATAAGACAAAATCAATGAGGTATTAAGCAGGAAACCTATACAACGTAATGTGTTACTCGTAAAGATTTGAAAATAAATTACTTTAAAGATAAACAATTGCACGGATTTAACTTAAATACAAAATCCAGACTCAGCGTGCGCAGTATAATACACAAATATGTATACATACGTGCATACATATACAAAAAATATTGCAGTGGTTTGACTCTCACATGTAAGCAACATTATATTACATTTTCAGATGTGTTAATAAGGTTCACAGCTACCGGGGTGTAAATTGTCTAAAGTGCAATTGTCAGTAAGCCCCAAAGTGCAGGCATTGACCAACAATTCCCGCTGGCAAGTAGTGCTTATTAAGTGCGGTTATTGGTAAAAAGCTGGACATCAAGTTGTTTGTTAAATAGAACAGTGTATGCGAGTTCCTGATAGTCATGGGAGACAACTCAGCTGGTCCACTTTCACAGCACTTTTTAATTCTTTAATTAAAATTCAATACATATGGAGGCGAAATTCAATCTATAGAAAAAATATATACGGAGAGACACGTTATAAATATAAAAAATGACTATTCCAATTTCATTTCATTGGTATTTGAGAGCATAAGAGAAATGTCATCAACAATCGAAAGCAGAGAAACTTTTAAATAACTGTCGAAAAGAGTAAATAATGCAATTTTGAAAACGACAGATAGACCTTAAAGCGTCTATAAAATACTCAAATAAAATAGCTTATATAATATAAACTAAACTATATGGTAATTTGTAAAATTTGGAAGGTAACTCGGCCTTATACCTGTTATATGGTTAGTTATTTCTTTTGTTCCACAAAATAAGTTACTACACCTTAAAGCTATACAATTTAATTGTTAATTTAGAATAAGCAAGTGAAAAATAAAGTAAGTAAAATATACAATTTTATTCTATGACAGTGAGTCAACCAACAGAATCACTGGAATGGAATCAAACTTGTCATAATTATTAAATGTAAAATTTGAAGATTTCTCTGAAAGAAAATTTAAAAAAAAAATTTTAATGCATATTTAATCTATTAACTTGTATTTTCGTATTATTATACATTTTGTAATTTATTTTTTTGGTTTTTTGTAAGTTGGTTATTTAAAAGATTTATGCTTTTACTATGTATGTTTATTTCATATGTAGAACAGCAGCTGAAACAATGCACCTTGCTTCTTTATTTTGAAATTTCGATTAACTCTTGAAACTAGCAGGTGGCTGTCGGTGACATATTTCTCATGGATGAAAAATTGACGTTGTTCAAAATAATCATCATTGCATTTTCCATGAGTTCATCCTCATTTTATGTACGTGTTTTTAAGAGTTTTTTTTAACGATATTTTTATAACTGTTTTTAATTACACTTTGAGCGCAATTTAAACGAATTTGCTAATTTATATTAACTTCTCAGGCATATTTTCTACTTTGATCGCAATACAATTAATACACTCAATTAGCCAGTCATTATATAAATTCATACAAAAATCAATCAATTCTCGTGGCTTTGCCATGATATGGTATAATTTAATTTACATAAGCTGCTGAGGCTTTAAAGAATCTAAAGCGAACATTGAAATTATCATCTAATTTCCGTTTGTTGTAAAACAAAGTGTGGTATTTCACTTCTTAATGAGCAGAACATTCGAATCTGTTTGAAAGGGGAGCAAACAACATCCAAAAAACAACTCAAAGGTTTTGAGTGGAACTTTTTAAACAAAAATTTGCAATTAAATGTAACGGCAGAAACCTCAAAGGCAAATAAAAATGTAATGGGCCACAATTAAACGGCCTCAGTCAAATGAAAATGCAGACAAATTCTCAGCATCGTTTCACTTGAAATGAAAAATGTTCATTGGTCCCGAAGTTTTGCCAAGCAGCCAGCAGTCAACAGCCGCAGTGTGAGGCGAAAGGTTTGAAATTCGATACCAAAGACAACAACAGCAGAAAATTTGTGTTTATTTGGTGCTCAATTTGCATGCACAGCAATAAGTATCGGAACAGACGCTTTTTGAAGTTTAATCCAATGCTTTAAGTGACGCGGCAAATTCAAAATTGATTTGTTCCGAACATTAGCATAAAGCATAAAGCTTATAAAGCGTTTATCGGGCCCACCATTATATAGACGACTTATGCCAATCTATATATGTCTGTGAGAATGTGCACTGACATGTTTTAAGAATAAATTGCAAAGCAAATCAAATCGACACGATGTAGGTGCAAGGAAAAAGGATTGCGAGAATATGTTCAGCTACAACACGAATAATTGAGTGCTGCTTATTTATGCACCCCAGGCAAGCCAATGAAAGATAGACAGAGAAAAGACGCAAACAAGTGCAAACAGCAGGCAAGCCATGCGGTGAACACCCCAAGGGAACAAATAACTGCACAAAAAAAAAAAATACATATATATAATCAGAGCCGAAATTCAATTTTGAAATAAAACGCAAATCGAGTAGCGAAACTCTCAATGCCGTGCCACTTTGCTAGCACAAACATTGCCAGGACGGTTGATGGGCAGAGAGGGTAGGGAGGCTGGTGTAAGATATGCCCCAGCTTTCTATGTCGATAAAAAAAACCCATATACAAATATGTTCGTGTACTTTTGTTGCCAAGTAAGGCAGACAAGGACAACAACATTTGTGATACACGCGGCGTATGATTGACATTTATGCAAATGAGCATTGGGGTGGCGAATAGTTTGCGAGTGCGAGAGTCGCCTATGACAATATTTATATAGCAGCTACTGCATAAATACAACCCTTTTCCCATACAGTTCATTACTCATTTACATACGATACATGGAAGTGAATAGCGCTCAGAGGTACTACTCAATTAATGCAGGGACGGAGCTCAGTGAAATCTTGTTATCGATCTTTTTAAACTTTTGACATAAATAAATTCTAGATTGATTCTTATTGTAAGGCTCCAACATAATAGTAACGAATTGTTTTTAATTTTACCAAGTCACTTACTTGATTAAAAATTGTTTGTAAATGGGCCGCAAATATTATTGTAATCGATATACTGAAATGAGACATCGCCTCTTTTGTCGTGGCCCAGTTCGCCCCTGGATACGTATATAATTTTAGTTTTGGTCCCTACATGTACGGGGTACTGACATTAACGCTAATTGAAAGCATGAAATGCGATATATCGCAGCATTGACAAACAGACGGGGTATGCGACACACTTGCCGTATACTTAATCTACTTGTCTAACGTTCAGTGCTCTCTGCGACCAAATTCTATACCAGCCCAACCCATTTCGTGACGTTTTCATGGTAAAAGGATAACAAAAGTTTTCGCTATTTTGCTGCGTGGCAACGCAAGAGTTTTCCTACGTTTTTCCGCCAACTTATTATTGTTTAAATATTTACACTACAAACGGCAGAGCTGACAGGGACCTGAAGGGATAAGGGCCATCGTTTGCCGTGTGTGTTCTGCACACGACATATGCGCGACAAGTTCGAGGCGCAAAAAGTTGTTGCGACAATTTTGTGTTATTTTTTTTGAGAGATAGAGAGAGAGAGGGAGGGGGGTGTTGTGTGGAGCATTGTCACGTAGTTGTCTAGATCCTCGGCTGACTTTGAGTGGTGCTGCCAGCGATATGCATATGAAGTGCCTCTAAGCGCACAGCCCGCTGCCTTGATTGTGACATTTGCTGAACGCAGAAATCCTCTCACTGCAGCTTATTGCTTAGTTTGCTATTAGTCCATTTGCCCTTTGCCAGTGCAAATTACGTTGATGCTGTGAGTGAATGCCGGATTCGTACAGTCGTTGTAAACATCACGTCGGTCACGTCTCTCATTCGTTACAAACACTTCCAGCACAATTTTTATACCCTGTCCTCGCAAAAATTATACAGTGCATAGCACAAATGTAATGTAATGAGCAAATGTACTGAGTAACAATCGAAATCGGGCGTACTGACTATGGAATGTTTTAAGTAGATACTTTCAAACAAGTTCATAGATATGTAAGATATATAAGATATAATATATAAATATAAGACATAATTTAAAATTAAAAGTATTGATAATCACTATTCTCGGAGCTCTTTAAATTTCTACAATGTAATTATTAACGCTAATATCGATTAAAACTGAACAAAACCTCGATGTACAGGGTATTTTAATGGGTGAGCACATACGACGAGCGTATTCTTATTTCTATTTGCTTGATTGTT